CTACACTAAATTATTTCCAGATTCTGATGGGACTGTGAGATGATTTTACTAATTTAGAGACGATGTTTTTAGCCTAGTCAGAGAACCAGAGTCAAACAACAAACCAGTAATAAGAAAAAAACCAAACCAAAACCTATTTAAATTCTCTAGGTATAATTGCAAACTGATTTTGAATATTTGACAAACACATTAAATGAAAATGATATTTATAGTATAATTATACATACATAAATAATGAAATATATACATTCAAATCATAACAAATGACGAAAGAAATGTTAATTGCAATCTACAAGAATAATATCAATTACGATAATTATATTAACGATTATATACAGAAAAACACATACATATATGACAAGTATTTGAAGCTAAACCAGACAGACAGACAGACAAAATGTAAACCAGTCAAATGTAATATCTAATAACAAGCATACGCGTGCATAAAATGTTGAATTTTTTTATATAATCTATGAGGAGAACAGAAACATAAAAACAAACACAAGAATCATTGAAAATTGTTAAAGCTCAAATATGGATTGGAAATCGAAATAGAGGAAGAAGGAAGGAATAATTAACTCCGCCAAAAAAAAAATAAACAAAGAAGGCAAAATAATTGCATTTCTCTCCCTCACTCGCATACACACACACACGCACCCTATTCTCTAGCTATCTCTCTCTATCTCTCTCTCTCTCTGACCTCTCTCTCTCTCTATCGCTATAAGGAAACATAATATAAAAATTGTTATGACTTGATCTTTCTACTATATTCAGCACCAGACAAAACACACATTAACACTATTACACAGATCTCGCTCCTTTCGTTCTGGAGGAGATCTCATCTTGCCTTTCTTCAAAAGATTATTTATGATTTAACAATTTCAAATTGTTTGAGAAGCGATTTCGTTGCTGTTGCTGTTGTTGTTGTTGTGTGGTTTGAGGCAGCTGCAAATCTAAATTGGTGAATTTTATCTATTAAGTTTATTGTTAGGAATTGTTAAATTGTTTAAGCAGAAACTTTTAATCAAAAAAAAAAAAAGCTAAATGTGCATGATGTATATTTGAATAATTAAAATAGATTTTTTTTTCTTGTGTGTTGTGTTAATGCCGAAACACGGAGCTGCTGCTGATGCAAAAAAACGAATTTAATTTGCCATAATTTTCGTAGAGAGTAATAGATATTTACAGCCATCAACTAAAAGCTAAAAAATATAACATTGAAAACGACGACGAAAATAAAAACGAAATTACGATTGTGCAATGCGAGTTGTCTTTAAATCAATTGCCTACCAAAATAATAATATTAATAATAACAAATTGTACCTTTCGATTTTGAATTATAAACAAGATGAACACAATTATTGTAACTTAAACTTAACTTATTAACGATTATATGCCATCGTCGCCCCGTGCACGCACAGCAGCAATAAAAACAAGAAACAAAAACCAAAAACACCCACTGAATGTTTAATAATACGAGTAATTAATTAAATTACCAAGGAACAACACACGTTTAAGTCAAGCAAATAGAGCTCATTTTAAAGATTGTTAACTTTTCAGTTTTTAACTTTTAACAAGAAACAACAGAGATCCTACAACCGAAAACAGAAAAAAGGCAACGCCGCATTCAAAATGTATCGGGGGAAAACGAATTCGCAATGTAAAGAAACGAAATGAGCAACACACAAATAAAGGTAAATCAAATAACTCTGGTTAGTTGTTGGCCAAAAATGAGTTCAATAGATGTGTTTTCCTGAGAAGAATGAAACCCAATAGATTGCCATTTAGTGGTTAACCATTATCTATGTATATGTTTTCTTTGCTGCCCGCTGGTCTGATCCAAGCAAATGATCCAGCTCTTTCACTGTGGAGACGGCTCGCCGGGTACCAACAAGAACAAAATTATTTTTTATTGCACCTGCAGTCTTGTGGATCAGTCTAGATTGCACCTGCAATCTGGTGGATCATTAGGATTTTCTGTGTGCATAGTGTGGGACAATTTTTAGCAATTATTATTTATTCGTGTTGGAAATTTGTCACTCGTGCACTCGTGAAGCTCTGAATAGATCCGACACGCGACCATCTCTAGTAAAGGATTGGCAGAGAGGCAGAGCCGAACCCATTTTCATTTCATAACTTTATTCGAGCGAGAAAAGTTGAGTGCCAGCTAAGCAGATTTGCTGAGTAGTTTTTGAGGGTTTCTGGGCGCTTAAAGCGCCTCGAATTAATTATCCTAGCACTTCTACGCATAATAGCCAAATCTCTTTTTGACATGGGTAAGACGAACGAATCTGTTACTCTCTGGCTTACATTTTGTACGGTCCCATTCCGTCCCGTCCCTTCATAGGCTAACGATTACGCAACACGGCTCGAATTTCACCGCAGGCCGCAGGGGCACAGTCACCAGCTAGAAGATGGCTTAATTTGTTCATTTATAAAATGAGGGCCGTGCCCTGCAAGAAGGATCAACGGGAAGCGGTCGCAAGGATGATGTGAACTCGCAAGGACAAGGACAAGGACCTTCCCTCCATAACTGTTTATACTTGGCTTGCTCTGGAGCGCTACAACGTCGACAATTTCTTCCGTTTGACTCCAGATTTGGCCACAGGATAGCCACCGTTTGCTCCGTTTTGATGGGCTTCGTTTTGCGTGTCGCGATCTTGCATTACTTTTGCATGAGAGGTCATGCCAGAATTCTAGAAGATCTCGACATGTAAAGCGGAGCCCATCAATACGCAGCGAACGGTGGTCATTCTGAGTCCCAAATCTGACGTCAAAGGAAAAAAAATGTAGGCGTTGTTCCGCTGCCAAAGCAAGCCAAGTTTGCACAGGAAGGGCAACACAGCAACAGCCACAAAGAGAGCCAATACGAATTAATTTGTCTGGGCCTAGACAACAGAGGTGAAGCTGTGGAACTTCCTTCAGAAAATTATATCAGCCTGAAGTAAAAACATGCCCCGAGCAAGGTCCGCACTAAAGGCGACCGCCGCAGCAAATCAACTATATAAATTGTCATATAATAAATGAATACTGTATTAAAGGGTGATAAATCGGCTGTTATTTCAAACAGCTTTTGACTGTCACAAGCGTCTATTTAAGTGGTTCTGGCAATAGCGCCAGTGTATGGACAGTGCCATCAGATGGTAGAAATTAGTTAGCCGTGTTCGAAACCATCTCTTTCCTCGGTATATTTACGGTATATTTTAAAAAGGAGAAGGTATATTTTGGTATATTTCTCAGGGTCAGGCGGAGTATTTGATCGGTAAGTGCGCGGTCACACTGAGTAAAACTTTTTTCACGTGTGGCACGAAACAAACCAAAAACCAAACAAACCAACTCAGCACCACAAAAAACACAGAGGTCAAGCCAGCTACACTTTCACACCGGTCAGAGGTAAGCCAGAAAGTCTAACCAAAACAAAAAAGACAACATTGAAACACACACAAACCGGGAAGCACAGGGATGCTGTGTTTAGTAGCAAGAAGAAGAAGCACGTGCAGCAGCAAAAATTGCAAAAGTTTAAGAAAAAAAGAATACGCGTGCCGTGCGAGGGTTGAAAACTGTAAACTGGAATATCTATGTACATCCAGCATCCGCATATTACATTACAGCAAGATGGTGCCCATTGGACCCGTTCATCCCAACCATCCCGGCGTTGTACATCCCCCACAACAGCCGATGCCGACAGCACCCACCGGACCCAATTCGCTTCAGCCCAACGCCAATGTCTCGGGCTCCTCGAACTCCACCTCGAACAAGAGCTCCATGTCGGTGAAGCCCAACTATACGCTGAAGTTTACTCTCGCCGGCCACACCAAGGCCGTTTCTGCGGTCAAGTTCAGCCCCAACGGCGAATGGCTGGCCAGCTCATGTGAGTACCAAGCGTTTGTGTTTTCAAATCGTTTTGTTGTCTATAATTATTGCTTTTTAACGCAGCTGCTGACAAACTAATCAAAATCTGGGGAGCATACGATGGAAAATTTGAGAAGACTATCTCCGGGCACAAGCTGGGCATCAGCGATGTGGCCTGGAGCTCGGACTCGCGTCTGCTCGTGAGCGGCAGCGATGATAAGACGCTCAAGATCTGGGAACTGAGCACTGGCAAGAGCCTCAAGACGCTCAAGGGGCACAGCAACTATGTGTTCTGCTGCAACTTCAATCCGCAGTCGAACCTGATTGTCTCCGGCAGCTTTGATGAGAGCGTACGCATTTGGGATGTCCGTACGGGCAAGTGCTTGAAGACACTGCCCGCCCACTCTGATCCCGTGTCGGCGGTGCACTTCAATCGCGATGGGTCGCTGATCGTCAGCTCCAGCTACGACGGCCTGTGCCGCATCTGGGACACGGCCAGCGGACAGTGCCTGAAGACGCTGATCGACGACGACAATCCGCCCGTGAGCTTTGTCAAATTTTCGCCGAACGGCAAATACATACTGGCGGCCACTCTGGACAACACCCTCAAGTTGTGGGATTACTCGAAGGGCAAGTGCCTCAAGACCTACACGGGTCACAAGAACGAGAAGTACTGCATATTTGCGAATTTCTCTGTCACTGGCGGCAAGGTGAGTAACCACAGTGGCTATGTCTTTGATTGGTTTTCCCCATACGAACGTACGGTTTTGTTGTAACCCTCCCCCCCTCCCTGTAGTGGATTGTCAGCGGCAGTGAGGACAATATGGTCTATATATGGAATCTGCAAAGCAAGGAGGTGGTGCAAAAGCTGCAGGGGCATACCGACACTGTACTCTGCACTGCCTGCCATCCCACCGAGAATATCATCGCCTCCGCTGCGCTCGAGAACGATAAGACCATAAAACTGTGGAAATCAGACACATAAAGGACACGGCGGCTATCGCTGGTATCCAGCAAATGCAGATGCAGCAGCCCCCCACACACACACACACCGACTCCCACACACAAATTCATAATCTTAATATTGAAAAAACAATTTTTTTTTTTTGTAAGCGTAAACTCTTAATTGTCTACTCCCAAAATCACAATTTCAGTTTCACAGTTTCGAGGTATTTTCGAGGATTTTTGTTGCTATGTTGCAATGGATGTATGGTGATGTATGGTAAGAAGAAGGGACAGTTCAGATTAGTTATTCATTCTTAAGCTAAAAATTGTATGTATAGATATTTATTAGCCTATTTTATTGGCTACAACAGTAAGAAAACAGGGGGATTTCGCCTTAAATATGATTGTAACATTTGCCGCATTAACCCCAACAAAAAACAAACAAACAAACACAAGTCGATGATCTTTCGGTGTAGACAGATAACTAAATTTAAGCACAACCCCCAAAACATACACGTGCCGCCGGAACAGAGTCCAGCGCACGGGAAAGAATACATATAAAATACGAAATGTACATTTTAAATTAAATAAAAATAGACGCGCGCAAAGCGGCGCTTGACTGTAAGGCCTGGAGTTCGAGCCCCATTCTGCGCGCGTCATTTATTTGTACCTCTTCCAGCGTTCTATTTATTTTGAGCCAAGCTCTGGTCCAAGATGAGAGAATGCAACGTTTTGGCCAACTGAAATGAAGCAACAGCATGGGAATGTTTACAAGGAGATTTATTGTTTTGCTTTGAACTGGCGCGAACTGAAACTCAACTCTGCAACTACCAGTGCAGTGCTGCACTTTCAACAATGAGCAGCACTGTTACACTGGTTATTCTCTTGGAGAGGATTAACTGTATAGAAGCTACAATACCTGGAAAATAGTTCACTTAACTGTGAAAAAAAGAATCAAAATTTTCTTAATATTACTGGGTACAGAATTGCATATTGTTGTATTCTGTCGTATTGCAGCACCACAGTGTTGGCTAACGTGATCAGCGTTCATTAACCGATTGTTGACCCATTGTGGGTATTTAAATACAAACACTGAAATGATGAAACTTGAAAATGTTGTACGCGTTTCAGGTGAAAGATATCGGTGGTCATTTTTGTTTTGACAGTAAATAGGAGGATGGAGCTACAAGGAGCTTTTTAAACAGTATTATTTACAGCTGTTTAACAAAGGGTGATCAACTTATTAAAAAAAGGGGTGTGAAGTGGGTTAAGTATATGTTATGGTATTTAAATGGTATTTCTCGAAACTGAAATGGTATTTATTTTTTGGCCAGTTGGTATTTTCTATCGTTATCGGCGCGGTCACGCTGGGACTCGGGCACAATTTATTTTTTGCCAAAATGTGCGCGCCAACAACCAATTACGCAAATGCAAGGTCCGATAAGTGAACGCTAGCTGCTAGACAGACACCTACATCGCGTACGAAATACGTTTTACAATAGTTTGTGCCGCCGCCGCTGTTCCAACACGTACCCACGCCAAAGAGGCGGAAAAAGTCAGCACAAAAAAGGCGTCTGGGAGGAACTACTGCTTCTCGTGCTGTTGGAAAATCGATCGATTTTCATTATTGAGGCTCCACAGCCATTTGTTGTTCCCTCCTCTCCCCTCATAAACATTAGTTCAATCTCGTTTTTTTTCTTGTGACGGACGGGCAGGCACAAAAAATCGCATGAACATCATCCGACTCGGGCGGTAACCGGGGTGGTGTGTGGTGCGAGAAAAGAAAGACGCGAAAGAAACAACAAAAAAAACGCAAAGAAAAAAATCAATTAGCAAGGCACACAAAAATAAAAATATATATTCCATATAAAAATCGCAAATTATTTATGAATTGGTTGTTGTTGTTGCTAAAACAAAAGGAAAAAAGACCAGCATTGAAAAGATTTCTAATTCGAAAATAAACCAAACAAATCGGCACCCGCTAGCAACAGCAAGCGAGAGAGAGAGAGAGAGCGCGGTGCAGCGGAAGAAGAGCAGAGAACAGGCAGGCGCCAAAACGGTAACAGCAGCAGCACCAGCACCAGAGAGTGGTAACAAGAGAGAGATAGAGAGAGCAACGGACGTCTTGAGCGCGTCATCGATATATCTTCAATTGTTTACACGAGTCGCCGTCGACGCTGTCGCCGCCGCCGCTGTTGGTGCGTGTGTATCATTTTTGCGGCACAAAAAGACACACCCTGAGAGGAAACGAGACCAACTGCTCCCGCCCTCTTAGCCCTTGGGTGTGTGTGTGTCCCAGGGTGCGTGCCTATCGCTACAACAACCACATTATTGACCGCTCCTTTAGTTGCAAGCCGCCGCCCGCCCTCCTTCAACCCTCCAACACCCGGCTAGCAGAAGCATGGTAAGTGGATCAGACAGCAGCAGTGGACGCTCCCCAGCACTCGTTGGGGCGGCTCCATAACAAATCAAGTTAGTTGGACATGTACGCCATACGATACGCCCTCTCCCTTACCATCGCTTCTCCGCCTGTGGTTCCCTTTGTCGTCCTATTAGCACTTTTGTTGTTTGTTTGTTGTTGTAGCTTCTCTCCCGCGCATACCAAGGCCATGTGCATGTGTTTATATGTGTATGTGTGTGTGTGTGCGTGTGAGTTGAATATCTCGTGACTGACATTTTCCTGCCATTTATTATTTACAACCCAACGAAGCAAACGAAGCGGCTATAAGTGTCCTTGAATGAAGGTTGTGGCTAAACGCTTCCATCATTGTCCATTACTGCACTCCATACGCCACTACCCGGCATCCTGGCATCGCCCACCATATGCACATCGATGTCAGTACAGTCACGATCTTTGTATGAGGCCGGGAAGTGCATTTCCTGTGGGACTCATGCTGTAGTGAGCTCCATACCCTGTACCCGGTATCCCTTTTAAAGCTAGCAATGTAGATAATTTAATTTAATTCCCATAATTTATGTTATATGTAGATCTAGCATTTATTACTGCCATAGAAACGATCTGCAGGGATAGGTACGAGTAACGCTGCGGAATCCCCTAAGCGCTTTCTTCTCCCTCTGGGGGGAGCATCCATCCACACCTATCACCCTATTGTACGTTTTATACGGACTACGAGTTTGAGTTCGAATACGAGTATGTACCCGCAATTAACGTACGTAGACTGTGTGTACAGTGTATACAGTGTGTACAGTGTGTACACTAGTGTAGTGCTCGATTCCGGCGCTTATCTACGCTCAGATACACAGTCTGTGTGTCCACGTCCCTTGTCACAGTGTGTGTGTTTGTCCGTGTTTGCTCAACCCACTGCGATAAGCTTTGGCCTCTCCTCCGCTGCGGACTAGTCACAGCCCACAGCCAGCCAGGCAGCTCATTTCCTCTGGGCCGCGTGACAAGAGGAGAACCTTCAGTAGCAAATAAGAGAAAAACCCGCCACCCCGCTACCAACATACTTAGATCACCACCCCACCCCACCTGTCCTGTCTGTCTGTATGTCCAGCTCTCTAATCACACCACCCTCGCATACCAGCCCAACGATGACGAAATTTTTTGGGAATTACAGGGAATTTCTAGCCTGTGTGTGCCTGCATATTCTTAGTCACCGGAAAATATACATTAATACCATACATTGACAGTGGGGCCAAAGCTCGAGCGATGGGATCGATGCCTTCGATCTACATATGCACACACTATACTGTACTCGTCGTATACATATGCACAGTAGAGTACGAATCAATAGTAACGATCTGTAATATTATTAAAACATTATAGGGGGTATACGGGTATATTAAATCACTTGTAACAGACAACACAAAGTAAATGCAAGCCCAAGCCAAGGATCAACAGCTCTAGTACGATCTTTTTGACAACCAGCTCTCCCGATCTATCAATTTCACGGAAATCTTTCGGGATTTCATTGTCCGACAAATGGCATTCATTGTTCGTTCGGCTGTGTTTTGATTTGTAGATGCCCGCTTTTTTCTTTGTTAAATGAATATTTATGGAAAAAGTCTAGACTCTACACTGTAGAGAGATTATTGAAGCAGGAGATGGTTCTTTGAGACGAAAAATGTTGTATGTGATTCCGAAGCAGAACATACGAATGTGTCCCCGTTCCCTTATGGCAAAATTTAAACATTCAATGAATGTGCCCTAGTTGGAAAAGGGGTAAATATTAATATATATATATACAATTCGAAGCAATGCGTTTCTATTGTGTTGACTCTATCTGTAGGACCGACTTGAGTGTGTGTGTGTGGGTCGAGAAATGGCGAGCGGCGACGTAATCAAACGCGTTAGAAATGGTCTGCACTGGCCTGCGGTGCTTGCTACCCTGCGTTGCTCTTCTGATTGTGTGTTGTACTTTGATAACGTATTTAATTTATTATTATGACTACACACACACACACACACGACATAGAGGTACTACAGGTGTACAAGTACATTATGGGTACGGTACACCTCTGGCGGGCGTGTACCTGACTGCTGATTTGTGCTGCGCTTAGGTCGTCGTCCAGTGTACCGGCGACTGCCTTCGAAGTTCGAAGCACGCGAGAGGAAAAACAACGGCCACATAGTTATACCGAATCGAACATCAAACATCGAATAACCGAATCGAATTGAAACAAAACGAAACGAGCGAAAAATCAGAGCAGAGCAGAACAGTGCGAAGGAGCGGGAAGAAACGAACGGGTGGGTAATAATAACACCTGCTGGATCCCCACTGCTGCACATGTGCCACTGGCTGGGATTTCCCAATAATTCATTGGAGTGGGATACATTACCTTTAATGGACTTTGTCATTGAGCAGTACGGCGGGGTACACGCGTACTCATTCTCTGGGGGCAGCTAGACGTGCTAATTGATGCCACCAACCGTATAGAGGGGGTTATGTACATTAAGGAATAAGCCAAACTATAGCAGAACTATTAAACTTCACCGACTGTGGTAGTGCGCTGAGTGAGTGCTATACTCGTGAGTCAGGGCAGGGCTCGTAGTCCGATTAGATATTGCCTGCCATGCACTGAATTCTGAAGCAAGTGTAGAATCTCAAGTTTAAACTTAATTGGAGTCAACTTCCAAAGTGTCGAATGGGTATACGAATAGGAATGGGAATACGAATACGAATTGGAATTGGAATATCTACAAGCACACGAAGCACACACTAAAGAATACAATATTCAACAGCAATTAGACAGAATCGACATTGAGTGCCCGGGCCCGACTGTTTTTGAGCCCTGTATGTAATCGCTGGAGCGTTGCACATTTTAATTTTGCCGTTGCGAAAAAAATCAACAACAACACTGCATTATTGTTTGAACGATTTCACCGCCCCCCCACACCACCAGCCTGATTTGTTGTTTATATAAGAAACAGAGAGAGAGAGAGAGAGAGAGACAGCTCCCAGCGGAGTGGACGAGTGGACCGGACCGGTTATCGCCAAAGCGATCCAAGTTCATTACGCCCCCAACAACAATCCCAAAGTACGCAGCGACGCTATCTTCAGAGTTCTCTCCGAGTCGACTTCCGACGTCTGTCTGGAACTGTCGCGCACCGTGTGAATCATTCGAAGGCATTGCAATCTCGATCAGGGATCGTGGATTACTCAGACGCAAAATTGATAACAATGGGTACACGATCCCCACGATCCCCCGGGTACGGACGAGGTCGCCGGGAGCTCCCGAGTCAACGGCATTTGCTACGCATGTGATGTATTGGATTGGATCGGTTCGGTTCGGTTCAGATTCAATGCGATTTCGCAATAGTTTGAAGTGCCTGGAGGCAGGCAGAGCCAGAGGGAGAGTTGGTTGGTTCTGCTCTGCAGATAGTAACGCTTATCGGTATCGGTTAGAGATTATATTATATGGAATTTATATGGAGGGTACCTTATGAAGAGTATTATGTAGCTTATCAAGATGGTCAGTCATTCGATTTGCTGCCTACGAATATTCGGTATCATACTATGACAATATATAGCCCTATTCTCTTACGTATGTACACATATCGAGGGCTATGCACACACAGCGAGATCGAGCACTCTGGAAAGTTTCCTTCAATCAAAAATTCCACGGTTCCAGTTGGAAGGAAGCATGGAAAGGGGTGGATAAATCGATAAACGAATGCCAATGTAATCTTTATTGCCTCCCCCCATAGAATCGAGTCTAAGGCACCCCATTCCGACGGCTGTGCTAATGACTCCCCTAGGGGGAGCATCGAGCTCTGTTCTGGGAATAAATGACACATCCAAAGCGGGCTGAAGCTTTGGGTTTTTCATATATGAATATTTTTAATATTATAATGAATATTTTAGTTTTGTTGTGCCCCATCAGTCGCCCCATCAGTCGCCCCATCATAAGCCCCCTATTTGCAGCCAGTATACTGGTTGAATAAGGGTTTTTCTTTATGGATGAACAAGAATGATGGATGAAGCTAATGGTGGAAAAACACTCTTGAAAAGCCAGTCCATGCAAGCGAGTGTTGTTTCCTTTCTTGGTAGAGTACTGCTATATAGATTGACGGGGTATGCATACTATCTATAGATTAAACAGGAAACTACAGATTAGAAACCAAGTAAGAATACTTATATCACGATCTACTACCCTACCACTAATCATGTGGCCCAAGCGACACCGCGCAGATCGCTGGCAGAATGACATAGAGGGGCGCTGCCGCTTGACGCGCCACATCCGTATATATTTGTATGTTTTATTAATCGAGGTAATCGCAGATAATGGCTTCTGTTTTAGTCCCGTGCGAAAAATTTGGCCTACTGTAATTATCTTGCAAACGAAAGATTGCACAAAAAATCAACCTTAGCACCCAATTAAATGTTTAATTAAGAGTTGTAAGCAAAGCATATTTTCAAAGTAAAAATGCCTATATATATGTTGATATTTAGGGATAGTCAGATTCCTCTTCTGGCTATTCAAATATCACTAGTTCATTAGTTCACCCTGTGGCCATGCCACAATTCTCAGTCATATCGCGTACGCAATGATATATTCAGATGGGGTACCTACTAAAGGTAAACTATGTAAAAGGTGCTATCTACATATGTATCTCATTTGTATATGCAATTAGTGCAGATTGTGCTGTTACGTGGAGATCATTAGACGATATCTACCGACAATTGCCAACCCAAATAAAACTCTCGAGTCTCGACCCTCCCTCCAATGCTATCATGATGGAAATATTTCAACAATTATAATAAAATCGTTGGCACTTGAACTCTCGGAATTGTTCAAATGATGGGCCGGTACTCTCGATGGAATCTGTTTGTATATAAACTGGAATAAACTCTGCTTTCTGGCTGGGCAGTTGGTTCAGTTATACATGTGTATATAAATATAGTTATATGATCAATAATGTTAATGGATTCCCAGCCACGCGATGCGGTACGGTGCGATGCGACGCGAATATGATTAATATATTTGTTTTGTTTTTGTGTGGGGGTATAGTCGTGATGAGAGACACCGCTCTAATTTAATAATAATAGCAATAATTATGGAAAAACAAATGGAACTAAATGCATATTTATTTATACTCCCTTTAGGGGGTATTATATATATCTAGAATACATTTTTAAACCTTTCAAACCTTTCACAAGCATTCACTTGAGTGTCTGAAAGTGAGTAAGGACTATGCTTTACATAGTTTAATGTAAGTATAATTCCAAATCGATCTGCAAGGGTATCTGGCGCTTCGGACCCGTCAAAAGAAAAAGCCTTCTTTTTTGTATTGTTCTATTCTGTTGGTGGGGGGAGGCATGGGGTGATGGTGGCGGATGTGGTTCAGGGTCATTGAAAAGGTTAGAAAAATTAGGGCTACCAAATACTGGCGCCAATTAATTCGTAATGGGCTTCCCCACTCCCCCCTTCCCCCCTACTGTCGGCATGTTCCACTGAAAACCGAGCAGCGTATAAGAGAGAGAGATGACGAGAGATGCTAATTTACTGTTTGTTTTCCATTTACAGCAATGTCGTCTGGCCACGTATCGGCGCTGAGAACGAGAGGATCCATTAGATCCACTAGTTGAGAGCTGTGAACTGAGGGACAAAGAACGAGAGAGGAGCGCACAAGAGAGAACTCTTGCATCTCGAGACTTTATCAGCAAACAACAACCAAGAAGCAACGAGATCGTAGTGCTCGTAGTGCCTGGGTTTAGCTTCCACTCGGAGTCAAACAAAAACATAAAAGAAAGAAGGCAACATTTACAAATAAAGTCTCTGATTCATCAACCATCCAGTCATCAGGCGTCATCCAACGAACGAACGAACGAACAAAAACAGAGATAAAGATAGAGAGAGAAAGTAAGAGAGAGTGAGAGACTCTGGAATAAAGAGAAGTATCAAAATACACCCCGTCCGGTGCAAGCACAAGTCTACTTAAAGGAGAAGGAAGCACAAAACACTTATTTAAAGAAAAGAACAAACACATTGACAAGCAAACAAGGAGAGGAAGGAGCCACTGCCCACTGCACATCCTCCAACAAATCCATCAAACGGAGTGAGTAGCCTGTTAGCGAGTGAAACCAACGAGAGGAGCTAGCTAGAGGATCCCCAGATACAACCCATTCTACAATATCTGCAATACCTAAAATCCCTACGACGCCTTCAGAATGAACTCCACCACAAAACATCTGCTGCACTGCACACTGCTCTTCACTGTGATAATAACCTTCGAAGTATTCTCGGGCGGCATCAAGATCGACGAGAACTCATTCACGCTGGTTGACCCATGGTCCGCGTATGGGGATGTGGCCACCGTTTTGCTGTACTTACTCCGCTTTCTCACCCTCCTCACGCTGCCCCAGGTGCTGTTTAATTTCTGCGGCCTGGTCTTCTACAATGCCTTTCCCGAGAAGGTTGTCCTTAAGGGCAGCCCCCTGCTGGCGCCCTTCATCTGCATCCGTGTGGTGACGCGCGGCGATTTTCCCGATCTGGTCAAAACGAATGTCCTGCGGAACATGAACACCTGTCTGGACACCGGCCTGGAGAATTTCCTCATCGAGGTGGTCACCGACAAGGCCGTACATTTGGCCCAGCATCGACGCATTCGAGAGATTGTGGTGCCCAAGGAGTATAAAACGCGTACGGGGGCCCTCTTCAAGTCACGGGCCCTGCAGCACTGCCTGGAGGATTCGGTGAATGTGCTGAACGACAACGATTGGATCGTCCATCTCGATGAGGAGACATTGCTCACGGAGAACTCGGTGCGCGGCATTATAAATTTCGTGCTGGATGGTAAGCATCCATTCGGCCAGGGCCTGATCACTTATGCCAACGAGAATGTTGTCAATTGGCTGACCACTCTGGCGGACAGCTTTCGGGTGTCCGATGACATGGGCAAACTGCGGCTGCAGTTTAAGCTCTTCCACAAGCCACTCTTCAGCTGGAAGGGCAGCTATGTGGTCACCCAGGTGAGTGTGTCTCTATGTACATACATACAGAAGTGAAATGGGAATCCATTTACTAAACTCTCTGTGTCTTTGCCAGGTGGAGGCCGAGCGATCCGTCTCCTTTGACAATGGCATCGATGGCTCTGTGGCCGAGGACTGCTTCTTTGCGATGCGTGCCTTCAGCCAGGGCTATACGTTCAACTTCATCGAGGGCGAAATGTACGAGAAGTCACCATTCACGCTGCTTGATTTCCTGCAGCAACGCAAGCGCTGGCTCCAAGGCATCCTGCTAGTGGTCCACTCCAAGATGATACCCTTCCGGCACAAGCTGCTGCTGGGCATCAGTGTTTATTCGTGGGTCACCATGCCGCTCTCCACATCGAACATTATCTTTGCCGGCCTCTATCCGATACCCTGTCCCAATCTGGTGGACTTTGTGTGCGCCTTTATTGCGGCCATTAACATATATATGTATGTGTTTGGGGTGATCAAATCCTTTTCGTTGTACCGCTTTGGATTGTTTCGGTTTCTGGCCTGTGTGCTGGGGGCCGTCTGTACGATACCCGTTAATGTGGTTATCGAGAATGTAGCCGTCATTTGGGGATTGGTCGGCAAAAAGCACAAGTTCTATGTGGTTCAGAAGGATGTGCGTGTGCTGGAGACGGTTTAAAGGACCGCACCGGACCGGACCGGGCCAAACTAAATCAAACAAAAATATCGCACAATAAATGGCCAGGATATATGCACACACACCCGCACACACACAAACACACACACACACACTATTTGAATTCTGATTTGTTTGTAATTTTTAGGCATAAGATTCCCCCACACACGCAAGCATACACACACACACACACACCTATGCATATGCACGTATACATATATATATATATATATATATATATATTGATTGTTGTTTCGTTATAAATCCAATCACACCATTCCTCATTAATCCAACACATCGCATCGCATCCACATCGCACGAAATCTACACACACAACAAAAAGAAAAGGAAAAAGAACAAACTGAACAAACACAAGGATAATGGGACAAGACACAGATAATACGGACTAAGCAACAGCAACCACTCGCTAAAAAAAAAAAACAACACCGAGAAAAAACAAAACCTACTCTCCGTTAAGTGTAATTACCGTATGTTCTTTACTCTTTGGATTCTTTTTTTTTTTTGATAGTCTGTAGTGAAGAAAACGCTATATTTATATATACTATATAGTAAATATCATATTTACTATATAACGTAGCTCTATTATTATTATTATTATCATTATTATTATTATTATTTAAAATGTGTACATTAATGTATTGTAAAGTGAAGGAAACAAGAATTGGGGCGAGAAACTGTTAAATGTCCGATTCACACCAAAAACAAATGGATAAAATGAAAACTGAAAACTGAAGAAACAGAGCACAATATCTGAAGCATTGAATGTTAGACTTATGTACTTACATATACTTATATATATATATGTATGTGTGTGTATATTATATTCGTTGGGAATTGTATGATCTATATGACGCGTATGTAGGATATATGTCATTCAATCCACACGCCCCCACAATGCCCCGCGGAACCTCCGACCCAGAGCGACAGGAGAATTGGCTATACATTTTTCGTAATTATTCCTTCATCCCGCATCCATTCATTACGATCTTTACCCCATCCCATGTAAACCCTATTAATGGTGGATGGTGTGAATGATACAGCGGTGTATGACGCTCGACTCGAGAATAGACAAAAAAAAAAAGACAAACAAATTTCATGTCATGCGCATAATTCTGCATTCGAGTCTGCCCACCGCTGTGATATATAAAGTAGAAAAAGAAGGCTTGGGAAGAAGGGCCCGCCCGTCGAATTTCGAATTTCCCGTTTAAATGTAAAACGCACTTCCCTCTTGCGCACACACACACACATGTATTTATCTTTTCGTCGACTTTCTGTTAAGCCCCACGCCAATGGACACTTAGAGCGAAAGGATATCGCACACAGCCAACCCATACAACCCCCCCTCCCAACACACACATTGAAACTGTTATGAAAAAAAAAAAGAACCAAATACAAAAAAAAAAAATAATAAAATGTAGAAATATATGCGAGTTGTTGTTATTATTGTTATGAATTATGGAATGAACCCTGACTATAGCTTTCTCGCTCACTATCATGCGGGTGTGCGTAATGCCAGCACTTAAAGGAAAAATCCAACTGCTTCGGCATGCCTGTCCTCGCAAGTGAAGGAACATTCTTCTGATATGTACTATATGACGCTCCAAAAGGGCTTGATGGAGAAGGTTGAAGTTATCCCGAAATATCTGTGGAGCGTCGAGTGCTCCAGAAAAAATCAAAACGAAAATGCCCCTGGAAAGGTTTTGCGAGGCTTGGAACGATCTGCAGCCGCAGTGGCGGCGCTGTTGTGAGTAGTACATAATATTAACTAGCATAAAAATCGTATTACCGTCCATCAAGGGTACGAATGAGGATATGGGATCTGTATCTTCGTGTAAGATTGCGCGAGTTTATTGTGTGGCTCTGGCTTGGATTTATGCAATTTATGTATTTATGTATGTAAATGAGGTTAATGGAAAATACAGTCCTGTCCCTGGTTGAGCCGTGAGTCGGCCGCGACTCTCTGGGGATAATATCCGAAACGTAACTGTGAAACTTATAGCTAAATCGAATAATTATAAACGTAAACGTAAAAACAAAAAATAGGTCTAGTAAACGTAAATGCCTGCGTCGTGTTGTGTCGGGATCCGATGGATAATCCACAGGCGGTATCCCTTTCTAGCTAAAAGAATTTACGTCGAGGCGTGGAGAACGCGAGTCCAGACATTCTGCAAAAAGGGAAACAAAAGAGTGGAAAGGTTTGTTTTATTTGAAAAGTGAATATTTTTCAGGTGCTGTGTCGTTTTCTTCGTTTTTCTGACCTGGCTAGCTTGGGGGCGCTGAAATCATCTGTGGAAAGGGACCTGCCATATGGTGGTGGAACAGCATTCTGATCGATCGATCGCTTGGTAGGCGATAGCACATTGACAGTGGACGCAGACTCTTGCGAGGCAAATGTAGAATCTTGGCCCGCCATGTCATTGTCCTCCTGCTGTTGCGGCAGTTCCTCCTTTATCTCGACAATAACATCAGCCCTGTGCGATTGTGATGGCGGTGGCTTCGCGTTACAGTTCATTGGATTCTTGCATGAGCCCTTGCAGCTGCACTGCTCGGCACAGCCCTGGCCGCCGGTGAAGCAGCCGCAGCGTTTTGAGTTGCATTTTGTGCGGCACTTGCACTTCATTGACACCTCCGTGACCGAGGCGGAGTCCTGGGAAGTGATCGACCCATTGGCTTCGCTATTTGTGGGGAGGACCGGCTGCTGTTCGCTGGTCGACGTCTCCTGGGCCAGTGTGTTGCTCTGTTCGGTTCTGTCATTGACCAACTGCGATGATCTCTGCGGTAAGGGATTAATTATGTATGGATTTGACCAGCAGTACTTGACTAAAATACTCTACTCACCTTGGAGCGCCCTTTGTTAGTCTGGGGAACCCAGTCGGGGTCATCGCTGGAATCGCTCACAATTTCAACGGTCTCCGAGAGGAACTGAACGCTCGCATTGAGATTCTCTTCAGATGGGGCCGCCTTACTTTGCTTTTCTTTTGCGGGCACCTTTTGATTTCTCGACTTCAGACGATCGTACTGCTGCTGAAGTGCTTCGCGGCTGCTCAGCAGCTCCTCGATAATCTGTTGGTTCTCGTTTGCGGGCTGATGCGTCGCCGCCGTGCGCAGCAGAACGGCCACCTTTTCCTCGTAGGCGCGCTGCTGGGCGAGCATTTCCTCCTCGTGCTGATGCTCGGTCTGGCGCAGCCGCTTGCCCAGGTCCTCGAGCCGCTGCTGGGCCTCTTGCAGCTGGGATCGCTGCTCATCCATGGCGGTACGCTGCTCGTTGAAGCTGTGCGCCTGCTGGCGCCGCTGCTGGACGAGACTCTTCAGCAGCTGCTTGCTGACGGCCCGCGATTCGCTGATGCTCTGGACGCCTTCGGCGAGGGCCTTGCTGCGTTTGTCTAAATCGCTGAGGCAGACCTTCTGTTGGAGATCGGCTATCTGGGCGTTGCGCATCTCCAGCTCTTCCTCGATGCTGGCCAGTTCTTTTTGATCCCCGCCAGCTTTCACCTGATTGTAGTGGTTGTTGATAGTGGCCCGGTCCTCCATGAGCTGTTCGAGACTGTGCTCGGCATCGATCAGTGAGAGTATGATCTCCAGTTCGCGATCCACCCATGAGTCTGTCTTGGCAGCGCCCGTGTGATCCTTGGCATGGCGCTGACGCTGTGCCGATGCCTGGCGATCTAGGGCGTCCTTCAGCCGCTTATTGGCGGCCAGGGCCTCCTCACACTTGCGCTTCAGCACCTGCCGCTGCTTGGTGTGCAGGGTCTGCTGGCGCACCATTTCGCTCTGCATTTTGCGGTCCTTGCTCTTTAGCTGGGTGAGCTCCTTCTCTCGCACCGACCGCCACTGGCGGAACTTCTCCGACTCGCCTCGCATCGTCCGGATGAGCTTCACCTTGGACTCCTTCATGGCCCGTATTTCGCTGCTCAAATTGTTGATCTTCTCGCGCTCCTTTTCGCGCATCTTCAGCATGTTGGCCTGTGTGATGAGCTTCCGCCGCAATTCGGTGATCTCCTGCTCCAGCAGCTGCAGCCGCTTGCGCCGCTCTTCGGCAAGCTTGGCGGAGGCATCCTTGTTCTTGATGTTGCGCAGCTGGTCGAGCAGGTCACGCCGCTCGCTTTCCAGTTCGTCGATCTTCTGGTTGGACTGCTTCACCTTATCGTCATCGTCGTCCTCCAGCTTGCTGAAGTTGCGACAAATGCGCTCGTGCAGCTCCTGCTTGAGGTCGAGTTGGCGATTGATGGTGCGCAGTTCGCCGACCAGATCCAGCTGCTTGTTCGTGTAGTCCTCCGACTGGGAATTGAGCAGCTCGTGCACCTCATCGCCCATGCCGTCGCCCTCGCCCTCACCATCCCCATTTGTTCTGTGGTTCGATCTCGATTCGTGTCCATGGGTCTGCAGCTCGTTCTCGGTGCGCTGAAGCTCCTCGTCGACCTGATCCACAAGCTGACGGATCTCTCGCATATCATCCGATGGGTCCGATGTCTCGGCGCCATCTGCTTTCAGCTTTTTTTGCAGCTTGCTCCTAAGCTGGACCATGTAAGTCTTGAGCTTATCATGGGCTGCCTCGGCTATGTGGGCCCGCATCTCCTTCTCGGTGAGGTCGCTCAAGGCCTGGTGTAGCTCCTTCTGCAACTTACGGATCTTTTCCTGCAGCGTCTTGACTAAATCTTGAAGACCACGTTGGTCAGCAAAAGCCGCGGAGGCTGCCACCGGCGTACCATCAACGCCGTTTGTCAGCGGTTCGAGTCCGGCCGCCCCCACAGCACAATTAATGGAGCTGCTCATCTTGCCGAAGGCCAGCAGCTCTACGCGCAGCTTCTGTATGATGTCTTTCAGCGTATTGATCTCGGCCGTATGGGGATCCATGTTAACCACTGGCTTGTTTTTTATCTGCAATGCACGATCCGCATAGCGCAGGGTGCTTAGGGTCTCGGACACGTTATAGTCCGCTGGACTGACGCAGGCAATCATCAATGTGATTGAGTTTCCGCCCAGCGAGTCCTGCAGCAGGCGCGTCAGCTTTGACTGTCGGTACGGTATGTAACCGGCAGTTTGTCCGGCTGTAAAATGTACACAAAATGAGAAAGGATTTTGCTATGGATGTGCAGGAGGACCTACAGCCCAATGCGTTGATCACGTTGCCGAGGGCCAGCAGGCCTTTATTGATGTTGACCCCCTCCTTGAAGCGGTCGCCAATCGCCAGTGTCTTGGAGCAGCGTTCAGAGCCAGCCAGATCCACGAGATTGAACTTGGAGGTGGTCACCACCTTACTGAAGATCACAATTGATGAATTGAATGCAAAAATAAACTTTTACAGAAATTTGTGTATTTCTGTGGATACTTACCTTCCATCCAGCTTGCTGGAGACCACGGTGAGCGTGAAAATGGCATGAGAGCGGGACGAGGTCTCGTTCATTGCAGTGGCTGCTACAGCCCGACCGGCAGAGCCACGAATTAGATGATCGGTTACCTCACTGGCGGAAGTGACCTCCAATTCGGTGAGGCCGGGCATTACAATGCGATTCTGTAGTTCGCGAAGGTCCACGGTGGCCTTGTCGCGCTTATTCGGCGAGAAGAGATCAAAGAACTGCTCCTGGTACAGCTCCACAAAGGAACAGGTCACGATAAACTTGTACTCGTCCTTCAGTTCGTTAATGTACAGAAATATATCTTGGACGGCCCGCGGAATTACGCCCACATCGTCGTCGAGGACACCATTGAAGGCCGTCCCCATTGTGTATGTTTTGCCAGAGCCAGTCTGGCCATACGCCAGGATGGTCACATTATAGCCATCGAGCAGCTTCTTCAGCTTTCCCTGAACACACGACTCGAACAGATCTTTCTGGGTGTCATTGATGTCGAAGACATAGTTGTATGTGTAGCACTCGCCGCGATTGATGGACACCTGGGGGAGAACCGTTCGCCGAGCGCTCGAGGGCAATGCGGCAGCCGCGTTCCACCTCCGATTTGACGAGGGGACGCACGCGCAATGCCACGGCAACCGAGCTAGTATCGTCGCCGGACATCTGCGGTAGAGAACAGACCACACCAGTTAGTTGTCGCACCTTTTGCCATTTTTGAGGGGGATACTGGGACACCTTACCTTTTGGACCGGACAGGTATTCCAAACTCCAAATTTGAAAGTGTAGAAAAGATGTGCACAAAACAAATAAGCCCGACTCAAGTGCCTTACTGTTAATGTAAAAATAAATTTATATATATGTGTATGGAATATGTAAAGCCAGCTTTGATTGCGAGCAAATTTTTATCGTAGGCTACTAATGTGACGCTGCATTTTTGCCGGCCGCCGCTGTCAGTAAATTCAAAAATGGTGGTATAGAATATCGATACAACAGCTGAGGCTGGAATTCTGCAAACGGTCACGCTAGGTCATGCGATCGATACTGGGAACACGGACACGTAGCAAACAACAAGTAGCTATATCATTTTGTAAACTATACCACTGACTTTTATGATGTCGGAAGCAGTATAGCTCAACTTGATTACACTTTGTTGCAAAAATATCCAGTGCTTCAAACTGACCTGACTATTGATAACCGAGTATCGATAGTTACAAGTAATGGTTTTTGGCGACTATTTGAATACCACAATTTGGCCACACTCGGCAGCCGCCGCCACAAACACACAATTCGTCTTTATTTTTGTCTTTGTCGCTGTTTTAATTTCTTCAATCTTTGACTGTAAAACGCATAACAAGGTCTGAACCATGGCTGCAAAAGCGCAGATCAAGATTCTGCCGGAGATGTTCCAGGACAATGGGTGTTCCAGCCTCGAGGACACGAAATCGTCAGTTTCCAAAGTGCAGACGCGCACTGAACGCTTCCAAGAGCGCGTCAGAAAGCATATAAGCGAGAACTACTCGGAGTTTATGACCAATCACACATCGCCGGACATCTTCCTGGAGGAGTCCAGTTCGCTGGGCCGGGAGATCAACGATCTGCTTGAAACTGTGGGCACCGAGGGCCTGGCCGCTCTGAATGGCTCCAGCATGAAGCTGGCCGACAACAGTCGGGAGCTGCGTGAGCTAATGCTGGGCCTGCAGGTCAGCGAGCACATTCTGAGGATCGATGAGCTGTTCCAGTGCGTGGAGGAGGCCAAGGGCACCAAGGACTACCTGGTGGTGCTCGATCTGGTGGGTCGCCTGCGATCCCTCATCTACGGTGAGGGCGAAGCCACGTCCCAAGATGTGGTGCGCATCTTCCAGGCCCTAGAATGCTATGAGACCATCAAGGTGAAGTACCATATACAGGCCCATCTCCTGCAGCAGAATATGCAGGAGCGCTTCGATCGGTTGGTGCAACTCAACTGCAAGTCCTTTCCCAATTCCAAGTGCGTGACGCTGCTGGTCAGCAAGGAGGAGGCCCAGCTGCAGGACATTGTCGTGGCGCTATTCCAGGAGCGCTACAATCCCGTCAAACTGTGCGAATTCCTGCTGGAGAACTGCATTGAACCGCTCATCCTCAAGCCGGTGGGTGTGGAGTGCAACGAGAATGCCGAGGCCGGCACCTATGTCCAGCTCTCGCTCTCGTATTCCATCAAGGAGAGTGGCACGGCCACCGCCACGGGCATCGGCAGCGGCACACAGCTGAGACCGAACTACAAGCAGGTGCTGGAGCACTTTAGGCTGCTCCTCCAGACGCTGAGCGGCATCAACCACAGCCTGTCCAGCACCCAGCATGTCTTCAGCATCATTGGGGATCATGTCAAGGATCGCATGTTGCAATTGCTGGTCAACGATTGCCTCATACCGGCTGTGCCCGAGACCATGGAGGAGTACCAGGCCTGCACGCTGTGCGAGGATGTGGCACACTTCGAAGAGTTTCTGGCCGACTCGTTCCTCATCAATCCCGAGGTGGATCGCGGCCTCAGCCAGTTCATCAATCAGTACGAAACCTATTATCGCAATCGGCTGTTCAGTCGCGTCCTAGAGTCGACACGCGAGATCATACAGCGTGATCTGCAGGAAATGGTGCTGGTGGCCCCCAACAACCTATCAACGGACGTGACCGGCGATCCCTTCCTCTTCCCCCGCTGCATGGTCTCAAAGAGCGCACAGGTAGAGAAGGACTCGCCGAAATCTCCCCTTTTCGATTCAAGTTAAATTCCTTTTTCCTTTCCTTTTGCAGGATTTTGTGAAGCTAATGGATCGCATTATGCGACAACCGACGGAGAAGCTGGGCGAGGATGAGGCCGATCCTCTGGCTGGCGTCATCGGCATGATGCTGCAGACGTACATTGACGAGGTGCCCAAGGTGCACAAGAAACTGCTCGAGAGCATTCCCCAGCAGTCGGTGCTGTTCCACAATAACTGCATGTACTTCACACACTGGGTGGCCCAGCATGCCAACAAGGGGATCGAGAGTTTTCCCGCTTTGGTCAAGACACTGCAGGCCACTGGGACCAATCACTTCCGGGTGCAGGTCACCTACCAGACCTCCATACTGATGGACATCATGGACAGTTTCGGTGAGTGAACGCACATCGACATACATGGTTGGGTGGCCAAATTTTATTTGTAAATTTTTTGCAGAATTCGAGAGTCCACACACACTGGGCACGGGCCCGTTGAAGCTGGTGCGACAGTGCCTGCGTCAGCTGGAGCTGCTGAAGAACGTGTGGCAGAATGTCTTGCCCGAGAAGGTGTACAACAGCACCTTCAGCGAGCTGCTGCATTCTTTCACCAATGAGCTGGTGCGTCGCGTATTCACACAGCGCGACATCTCCGCCACCATGGCCAGCGATCTGAGCGATCTAATCGATGTGGTGCTGGAGAAGGCCCCAAAACTGTTCCGCGATCCCCACGAGGTGCATCAAGTGCGCTCCTGGATGAAGTTGCAGCAACTCAAGACCATGATGAATGCCTCGCTCAAGGAGATCACCGAACTGTGGTGCGAGGGAGCCGGCCCACTGACAGCCAACTATAAGGCCGATGAGATACGGATATCTGATACGGGCCCTGTTCCAGGATACCGATCGTCGGGCCAAGGCCATCACACAGATTGTCTAGAGCTGGTCCCATTCCCTCCCCGTCGCTGTTGTTCTTTAGATTACGCTTTAATTCTTAATAAAAACAATTCAAAATGATCTGATCTGTCCGTCAATTGGCCTCGTGCCGGGCCTGAAACATAAGCGGATACAGCTGCTCCACGAGCAGTCTATGGTCACGGCCATGTGTGACGACCAATATGCGATTAGCCTCCTCCAGATGATGAATGGCCTCCTTGTGATGTCGCTCGTAGAGCTGTATCTTGCCAAGCTTCATGTGAAGCAGCCCCAGGAGGGGATTCCATTGGCCATGATACTTCTGGAAGCCCGGCAACAGCTGCTGGCCACAGTCGAGGGCATCCTGCCATTTGCCCACCTCGATGGCCGCCTCAAAGGCTGCATCCAATGTCTTGACATGCCACACATTCAGAGGATGCATAAGGCCAGCCTGCTTGTCCAGGCATACCTTGCACACGTCCAGATCTGCAGCAGGATAACAATTAATCAATCAATCAAGAAATATTTCGAAATGCAGCCACACTTACAGGCCACATCCTTCATGGCCTCCAGATTGTGCTTGGTCAGGGCCATGATCTCATTGTAGGCATTCCTCAACTTGGGACTGATGCCCACCGAACAGCGCTTGCAGTTGTGCCACTCGATGTTGATGCTGGCGCTGCATTTCGGATTCGGACAGGCGGCGGCTGTCATTTCGCGCGCCTCCTTCGGATTGGAGCACTTGCTGCAGACGCACAGGAAGTAGTAGTGGTCCTGGAGGTCCCGCCGTCGCTGTTCGGGCGTATTCAACAGATCAATGTAGCTAATGAAGATCTTGGACCAGTCCAAGCAGGGCATATCCTCCAGGGCGTGTATGTGCAGCTCGTTACCCTCAAAGGTGGCCACAGCATTCGGCTGGCAGCTGTGGTCGGTGATCGACACACCCAAATAAATGGCCGTGGCAATGGAGTTCATCTCGGCATCCAATACATTAAAACCGTTTGTGATTAGCTGCGGCATTGATACACAAACAAAGATACAAATACAGATACAGGGGAATATCAGAGGAAAGGAAAAGAACTAGCTATCAAAACATCACTTTTGATGATACGTGAACCGTGCCCCTTGCCATATGATCAATCGCCTGGCAAGGCGCCAGACCCGCGCCATTGATTGGGTTTCTCACTCTGGCAGAACAGGAGCGGATTCGGGTATTTTTTTGGTTTGATTTTGCTTCGCAGGTGGGTGATGCTCAACCTCCACCCCATTTCTTGTTCTATTTAAGACAGGCGCCTGGCTGCCTGTCCACCATCAGGTGGCTGCTACTTACACGGCCATAGATGCTCATCAGTTCCGTCTTGTTGGGCACTGTGCTTGGGCTATCAGCCATCATATCCGTGAGCACGGCATGCAGCGAGTCCAAGTGCTCCAGCCGCTTTGGGTCATTCTTGATTTCAGAATAATCTGTGAAACGACAGGAGCAGAACTGCAGTCCATTAGCAGTCCTAGGAAAGGGTCGGACCCCAAGGAGCAGTACTACTCACGGGACATGAGGTCACGGAACTTGCGAGATCCATGCTCGGTATAGAAGCCACGGATCAGATCGCCGCCATGCTCGAGGCGCAGTATGAGGCGACACAGCATGCGGGCGGCATCGGGCACAATCCGTGGATGGATGCTTTTAAGGAATGGGCACTCGTGCTTGTGCTGTGCCCAGGCTTGGGTCTGGCAGGAGCGGTTACAGTAAGACACATATCGGCAGTTTGAACACTTTCGCACCTTGGCCCTAGTATCAAAATGGAATCATTTAAGCATAAATACATTTTTTTATTCATTTCTACATTTCGCGTAACACTTACGCTTCCAGGCAGTTATCGCAGCGCTCCAGGCGATACTGCGACTTGAGGACAAACGCAAAAGGCTTCTCTGTGAGGATGCGCTGTCCCCGTTTGACGCTGGGCGTCTTATCCATGGCGACTAGGATGGGATACAGATACCTGAGACCAGAAGAGTCTTCGGCTGATGCTTGGCCGGGGGCTCGTCACGTACAACTGAAATTGAGCGCACACCTGCACCTCAAAAATATTATGTCGAAGTTTCTACTTTTGAATATTTTGCGGCATCTAGCCCTATTTTTAGCCACAAATTATTTGCGTAAATCGCCTGCCTGAGGGAAAAAACAACAACAAAACAAAAATATTTGTTTTCGTTTTGTGCTGCATTAACATTAACATAATGTTAAGTTAACACAACAATGTAAACTTTTTTATGAAAACCGTTTTGAACAGTGCTGCCAACTTTTCATCAGGAAAAATGCTGTTTCTAACTTGGACAAGAGACAAACAAGCTGAAAAATTCAGAATGCTCTAGACCTAACCAGAACAGCCCGGCTAAAATTTCTGCAATATATTCTACTTTAAGGCTAATTTCATTGTACAATCGCAAACGACAATTCTGCCAATGGGAATTACATTACCGCTTCCCGCAATTCACAAATTTTTCTCGCAGCTGGTCTTCAAAAACAGCCAGATTTGACGGGAAAAAAACGGAATCGGCAGCACTGGTTGTCAATGGCAAAAAAGAAAACTGTCGCTTGTGCCATCAAATTTAATTTTTCTGTCGGAGAGCTCTGGGTCCATTCCAAGTGAAACGATTTGATTTTGCGAAATTGTTGTTTTCGGAGCCCCTACAGGCAATATTTTTTCTCATTTATTTTTAGCAAAGCAAACCTTTAGTTTAAGGATATTTATAATGTGTTCAATCCAAGCCTGTGGCGGCGCTGGGGCGAATAGACGGGCCTATACAGATAGATATAGCTCAGTTTATATATATATATATGAACAAGACTAACCGACTAATTGTTCTGCGGCTTTGACCATTCAACGCTGAGAATTAGATGATCGTAGCCGTGTCCGTTCAATATCTCGATGGCCGCCGCAGCATCCTTGCGCTGCTTGAAGTGCACATAGGCGAATCCCTTGCAGAGGCCGGTATTCTTGTCGCGGGCCAGGTACATTTTACTTTGTGGTCCAATCTTCTTAACCAGCTCCTCCAGATCCGCCTCGGTCATTGATTCAGACAGATTCGAGATGCGAATGGCGGCGGTGTCGTCGCGACCACGCATTCCCAGGCCACCCTTTTGGCTGTCCTTGAGGAATGGTGGCACATATTTACCAGACTTGGGTGCATCCACAGCAGCGGAGGCAGCCGCTGCAGCCTTCTTCTCCATGAGATTTGTATCCATGGCGGTACCTTTGTAGGGGCAGTTGACGGACCAATGCTCGCCATTGCAAATACGACACTTGGCAATGTTCTTGGTGGGATCAAGCAGCGGGTCGTTGGCCTTCTCGTCCTCCTTGGAGTTGAGGAACTGCATGATGATCTCCTCAGATACCATTGTGGTGTGCGAGTTGGGGCCGGGCTTGTCCGTCTTCGATTCACCAAACTTGGTCCAGGTGCGGCGCTTGGCCACGGTCTTTGGCACCACCTGCTTGGAGATTTTGTAGGTGCGCACGACCTTTGTCTTCTTGTCGTCCTTGTTGTATTTGTATTCGGTCACATATTTGTGGCCATTATCAACGTTCTCCGTTGTCGGCGGCAGGCCGCCGTAGTCGAGCTCCACCTCATCGGCCCAAGAGGACTTGATAGTTTCAACGCCCGGCATCTGGAAATGTTCAATTGAAACGTGAATTTGCGTAAACTCAATATGCTTTGGTGGTATCCTACTTTGCTGTACACTGCAAATTATTAGCGTAATTGAAATATAAAATTTCGCCACGAGTAAGCCAGCACAGATCTGCGACACGAAAAGTGGGTTGGGATGCCCGCCCGCCCCCCCCCCCCCTCCGCCCTCCTCCCCATCCTCCGCCCCAACCACGAAAAGACAGAGGTGTCAAACCAAAGAGGGCACTATCGAAAGTATCGATATTTTTGAGAATATCATGATAGAATCGAGCTAGAGTCGTTGCGCTCTTGATATGTTTGGATTGGCTGCTATAAAATACGAAGACAAATTTGTTAACATATCGAAAGGTGGCATATAATTTTTACAATGTGCAAGTTCCTAAAAGGTTTCAATGGTTTTTTAATAATTATTTGAGCCCGATACTATTACGATAGTATCGATTGTTTTTTCCAAAACATTCAAAGTTGATATCCTCGATTTTGATATTCGGTTTAATATTACTAGCTAGCTGTGACTCTCAGCCCTAAACAAATAATTTTATCCGATAGATACATAAATTTTCTACAAGATTGGGAAGTTTTCAAAAGTCCTTTTTATTGGATTATTTACATATTAAGGTTCAAACAAAAACGGCCAAAGCATAAAACGTAAATGTTGACTAAATGTGACGTCACATGTTGCTGGTCAACCAAGTTTCTTCTATGCGTATGTACTTTTGTATACCTTATTTCTTTTAATTGATGTTAAATGTTTTGTTCCAAGCTCCATTGAAACATTATTTATGATTTTATCATAGATTGACATGTTTTTAACCTCTTAATGAATATATTTGTGTTTTATACATACATTTATCCCAGTTCTGATACCTATTATTGGAACCCGTGAGCTGCAAAACTTTTTTAATATCTTTAGAACAGAGACTGAGCAGTTTTTGCCTTAAAATGAGCCTGAAAATTCAAACAATATCTCAAGTCCATAATATCCATTTTCCCAAGGTATGCAGACTGTTGCTCATTCCGTGCCAAAGTTGCACAACAATGCTGCTACTTCATTTCCCCATGTTGCTGAAATTTTTCCCATACAAATCAAATGCATCTTACGGGAACGCGTATGGAATGACGCAACAATGAATCTTTATTCCATACGCGTTCCCGTAAGATACATTTGATACACGAATTGAGAGTGAAAAATATCGATATTTTGTACGCTAATTGGAGGTTGGCGGTCATTTTGAAAATTATCTTAAGATATTGAAAAATAAATATTTTATTTGATTTGTTTTTTCGGTGCTGTCCAGTGTGACTGGAACCTTACATATATTTCATATATTAAGGTTCAAACAAAAACAACATTAAACGAATGTGACGTCGTTTTTGTGGCGTTGCCAGACTCGTGCAATTCGTAGTTGCTACGGGCTGCCATACCATGATATTTTGTGACATGAAATTCGTCGATTGCCTGACAGTTTATTTTAACGCCGTCAAATGACAGCTCTCAGGCCGGTAATTACGCCAGCGCCGAAGTGTTGTGAAATTTGACAGCCAGCTTTGGGTTCTTTTCCTTCGTGGTTTTCGACTGACAAGATGGCTCCAACTGTAAGTGCGGAAAAAAATCAGAAAAGTGTAATGCAATCCCATGATAAACGTGCGCGAAAGTTACAAAATATCAAACTATATTCCATCTTTTAAACGAGAAAGTGGAAATCTCGCTGCAAATCGCACCATTAATGACATAACTGGTTATCTGATGTTTGTGTTTTATTTTTTTTTGTATGTGCAGGCCAAGACCAACAAGGGTGATACTAAGGCCGCTGCTGCCAAGCCGGCTGAGAAGAAGACCGCTGCTCCTGCCGCTGCCAAGGGCAAGGTGGAGAAGCCCAAGGCTGAGGCTGCCAAGCCCGCCGCCGCTGCCGCCAAGAACGTGAAGAAGGCACCAGAGGCCGCCAAGGATGTGAAGGCTGCTGCCGCCGCCGCCAAGCCCGCGGCTGCTAAGGCCGCTGCTGCTGCCAAGGCAGCTCCCGCTAAGGAGGCCGCCAAGAAGGCACCCGCTGCGGCTGCTGCTGCCAAGAAGGCGGCTCCAGCCAAGCCTGCTGCTCCTGCTGCAGCCAAGACTGCTCCCGTTAAAAAGGCAGCTTCCACTGCCGCGGCTGCTCCCCCAGCCAAGAAGGCCGCCCCTGCCAAGGCTGCTGCTCCAGTCGCAGTCGCTGCTGCTGCTGCTGTGCCAGCTGCTGCAGCCGCTCCGGTTGCTGCCAAGCCTGCTGCTCCCAAGCCCAAGGCAAAGGCAGCACCGGCACCCAGCAAGGTGACGAAGAAGAATGTGCTCCGCGGCAAGGGCCAGAAGAAGAAGAAGGTCTCCCTGCGCTTCACCATCGACTGCACCAACATCGCTGAGGACAGCATCATGGATGTGGCCGACTTCGTAAGTACCCCGAGACATCTGCCCAAGAACCGCCATCAGCTGAACTCTGGCTACCGCACCAAGCTTTCCATTGCCCCCAATCATAGCCTGGGGCCTTGGATAAAAAGTTGTGGTTATAGCGAACTTCCATTTGCGATTAAACTGCTTGCGGATTTAATTTCCGTTCCGCTAGCGGTTAACAACTCCTGGAACATGTTCACAATCAGATTAGACAAGATAGAAAATCGTCTCCAATTACAACTCCGTCGATCACTTTTCGATTCGCCTATCATGGCGACACGCGTCTCACTTAAAGTGCTCCCCGTTCCCGTGGGGAGTGCGTCGATAAGGGGCTCTGGTCACTGCACAACGGGGTAGCCACTGATCGCCAGTAACCTGGTACTGGCCAGTTGGTGCAACCGTCTGTGAACAGCGTCAAGCCGTACTATGTGTACCGCCACGTGGTGGGCCCCGGGTTGAGTGCGGCACAACCGTGTCGCATCGAGCCAAAATTCATAGTGCGCCCTGCTCAAGTGATCCGACATCCGTGACACTGCAGGTTTTCCCACAACATTAGAGCTAGAATTCCAATAGAGAAGGATAATTAATTCCTATCACAATAAAGCTCGGCCGTATACATACACACACACACACACACGAACACCCGTAAGTGGGCAAACCGTAAGCGCTGCACGCGCTAATTTCAGAGCAGGGCGCTGCTGATTGCATCTCCCGCCCACCATCTTCCAATCAGGTAACTACTACTAACTAAATTCACCATCATCATCCGTACGGGAACACAGTTTTGGGCCACGCCGATTTGCCGTCAGAGAGTGAGCTTAACTGCGTCGCTCTGATGGCAGTGTACTCAGTGGCATATTAAAAAATTGGTCACTCTTCTAAATTTGGGCCTTCAGTTGACATCTGACTGTTGGCCTTAACACTGAAAGAGACATCTTGATCAGCACCCAATCGAATGCATTAATAGTCCCTGGTCTTTTGTGTCCTTTCTCGTCCCCTGCTAACTGTATCTACCTATGTTTTGCAGGAGAAGTACGTTAAGGCTCGCCTTAAGGTCAACGGCAAGGTTAACAATCTAGGCAACAATGTCACCTTTGAGCGCTCCAAGTTGAAGCTGCACGTCAGCTCCGATGTGCACTTCTCCAAGGCCTACCTCAAGTACCTGACCAAGCGGTACTTGAAGAAGAACAGCCTGCGCGACTGGATCCGCGTTGTGGCCAACGAGAAGGACTCGTACGAGCTGCGCTACTTCAGAATCAGCTCCAACGATGACGAGGACGACGATGCGGAGTAAAGATGATACAAAAAAAAAAGAGCAACAACAACAGAAAGATTTACAATGGCATTGTATGGCTGATTCGTTTTTATTAGATATCACGTTACGGTCGTGTTTTTATAAGCAAACAACAACAAATTGTAAAACTAATTGAAAATCAATTTTTTGGGTCTACCACAAAATAAAAAACTTTGTAAACCCGATATTTACATGTTAAATTATTTAGTTCCGGTGAATAACCACTAATGTGGGTGTGTAAAATTAATTTTTGCAATTAAGCTGTTGCTGTCGTCTGGTTCAGCCAGTACTTAATTGTTCTCATCTCTGGCGTTGATCCAGTGGAAGGGCGCACTCCGTTACTCATCATCATCGGCCTATATCTAGCTCGCTCACTCTTGTGATCGAGAAGAGCGACAAGAGTATGACATGAGTAAATGTCCGTTTGGCAAACGAGTATAATATGTTTGTGTTGTTTTTGTATTGCAAATATTTGTGTACTGGGTACGTGGGTCGGTTTGTTTGATTATTTATTACCTTGAAACGAAATACTCGTGCCGTACCGTACCAAATAAAGACCGTACCGCACCCTCTGACTAACTAACTGAGCGACTATGTGTGCCGCGCCAAGGCGGGTGCTCTGAGCACGAGTGTGAGCGGGATGGAACGAGGGCCGCCCGTTGCTGCTTGTGCAATTACAGTTAATAAAAAATCAACACTAGTTTGCGCTTTTTTCGTGGAATAAAAATTACTTGTAGGCAAATCCTAATGCTGCCTACGCCAACACCATGTGAAATAAAACAATTTCCATATCGCGTGCGTGTCTGTGTGGGGGGTGGGGTGTTGATCAAAAGCGTTTATTTCAACAATTAAAGAGTGCAACAAATGCTTACATACAACAATACAAAATAAAATTAGAAACAAAAAAACAGAAAACAAGCAACAATTACAATTCTAGAAAAATATACAAACACTTTCAGTGCCGTACTTGGTACTTTCATTTTTTTTTGCTTACATAATTTGTTAATTGAGAAAAGGGTATTAGATATTCGAATGTAATTTCAGTTCACAATTGTGAGAGATTCGTTGTTGAGAGACTGGCTGGATCTTGGACTCGCCAGGCACAATCTAGGGTTAGTTGAGAAACGCACTATCTATATATCGAGACAATAAGCTGGAAATACTAAGACGGGATGTCGCTGAATACTGACTACAGTTGTTTTGACGAGGGTACGGGTACGCAATAAATTAACAATTTCCTCCCAATTAACACATGCAATTTGTCACTTGTCCACGCCCTTGGCGAGTGGGACCACAACGCATTTGGAATATCGATCTTGGCCAGCGTAAACAGACACTTGGGTAACAGGCGGCAACCATTTCAAAGCTACAAAAAGCTGCAGACAAAGCGGACAACTAGGGAGGGGTGCAGTGGAGTGACTGACGGTCAGTGGAGGATTTACAACGAATTGGAAAGTTCTGGAGCTGCCAGACGCATGGCGAGTGCAGAGACTACAACCAGGAAAAGGCCGAGGCCACCACCAGGGGCCACGAGCGAGGCTCCGCTAGTGTTGGACTTGAGGGCTGCGTCCATCGATGAGGAGGCTGCCGGTGGTGTCTGCATCTGCTGTGATCCTGGCTGGGCCGGGGCCACTGGAGCCAATGGAGCAGGTCCTTCGCCGGGCCCTGCTGCCGGTGGCGGAGGTGCCGGATAGCAGGCGATCTTCTCCACCTCAATCATCTTGGTGCTGTCAGCTGGATCTGTCTCGTTGACCTTAGTGGGCACACAAATAATGCCACCGGGTGGCGGTGGTGCTGCAGCGGCATCTGCCGAATTAGGCACAGTCATGTTGGAGGTTTCCGGGTTAAACGGCGCCATTGGAGCTGGCATTGCAGCTGGCTGAACATCTTGGGTAGTGTTCATTGGTGCTGGTGCTGCTGCAGCCACTCCGGATGCATTGATAACTGTGGTGCCATCGCTGGCATTCACCGGCACTCCATTGTTGATGATGATGATGCGGTCCTGACCTGCCGCTGCAGGAGCAGCAGCTGCAACAGGCTGCGACGAGCTGCCGCCCGAGGGTGTCAATGCGTGGCCAAGCAGAGCGCCACCCAATCCACCAGCCAGTAGACCCGTTCCTGCAGAAAAGCTTCCGTATTAGGGTGGAGGAGATAGAGAGTGAGAGGTGATCTTACCAAAGCCCAGTCCTGACGAGGATTGCTGGGGAGGCTGCGAGTAGTAGGTGGCTCCTGGAGGCAGAGCAGAGCCAGCCTGGTAATATGTGGCTCCCGGTGGTGCGGCTGCCGGATGATACCCTCCGCCCATGGGCATTTGTCCTGACGAGGGATAGTAGGTGGCGCCGGCTGGCAGATTGCTTGGGTAGCCATTGTGTCCGCCGGATGGATAGTAGGTGGCGCCGGGTGGAGCTCCGGCATACTGGGTACCATGGTTCTGGGTGGCCGTGATGGGCTGATGGACGTTTGAGGTGGCTGCTCCATAGCTTGGCGGGGCGGCACCATAGCTGGGCGGCGCTGCCCCATAGCTGGGTGCATGATAGGAGGGAGCCTGCTCGTTCACATTGGGGCGAGCGCCACCAACGGGATTTGAGGCGGAGTATGCGGGCGGCGGACCCTGTGGCACATTCCAGCCAGCCTGAGGAGCTGGAGCCGAAGCCGGATTCGCGTTCGAATTCACATTCGGACGATTTGGCTGAGAGTTGTAGTTGGGATAACTCAGCTTGGCCACGTCTGCATGCGAGTTACCAGCCGCATGCCCGTTAGTGCTATAGCTGGGCTGAGTCACATGACCGTTGGAGCTGGATGATGATGATGTTTTGCGCTGGTTGCTGCCTTGGTTACGGCGCGCATCCACAACATCAACGCCCGTTTGCGTCAGCAGGAGGGCAAACAGGCTGAGGGCGACTACTGCGCAATGAGAAGAAGCCATCTTCGGCGGTCGTCTGCCTCTGCGACAGGTCGGACTTAACGATTTTCAATACGTGCGATGGCCCCTCGAATACGGAGCAGACACTGGCAACGGCAGAAAGTTGTGCAAAATGAAAACGTTAATCATAATTCAGCGATCAAATGTGCATGCTAATTACAGAAACCAGTTTCTCTCGACTGTTTTGACTGATGCTGCTGACGATGATGATGCTGCTGCTGCTATTGTTGCTTGCTTCGGTTATTAACTGATTTCACTTGTCGATAGTTTTTTTAATCATTTTTTTTGAATTTGTTTTGTTTAAAATACCCAGTCTGACCCTCTGAAATATACCGAAATACACCTTTTCATTTTCGAAATATACCGTAAATATACCTACGGACACGACAATATTCCTCGATGTTGATATTCCGTTGAATATTACTAGCTAGTTGGCCCTCTCAGCCCTAAACAAGTAATTTTAGCCGATAGATACATAAATTTTCTACAAGATTGGGAAGTTTTCAAAAGTCCTTTTTATTGGATTATTTACATATTAAGGTTCAAACAAAAACAACATTAAACGAATGTGACGTCTTTTTGTGGCGCTGCCAGACTCGTGCAATTCGTAGTTGCTACGGGCTGCCATACCATGATATTTTGTGACATGATATTCCTCGATTTTGATATTCCGTTTAATATTACTAGCTAGTTGGCCCTCTCAGCCCAACAAATTATTTTATGCAATTCATCAATAAATTTTGTTTTGTTTTGTAAAATTAAAACAAGCTGAGCTGCGATGAATAAATTAGCGATAATATTGGCTGTGGTTCAACAAGGAAATGATATGTTACTAAATCTTATTATGGCATTGGATAATAATGGGTCATCAAACGCATTCGATGACATTTACGACGACCTCGGTGAGTTGAATAAAATATGTTATGCGAAACAATATATTAATAATAGCAACTCATTTCAAAAACTACTGAATTCTTGTTTTCTGACAATTCTGACAATAACTTGAAATACCAGGCCGAACTTCTGGAGATGGCTCGAGACAGGTCGAAAATTCAGATGGAGCGAAACAAGGCCCAGATAGAGATCCTTGAAAAGATGCTGAAAACCCAAGCTAGCTTCCACGCAGAAATTCTTCAATATCTCAGGGAGTCCAAGTCTGAATAATAGTGAATAAAAACCATGAAAAAAGTATTTTCGATTTAAAATATGGCGGAAAAGGTACCGCGACTTGTCGACTTGAGCCCCGCGACACCACTTGAGGGCACAGTCTGGTATAAAATTATGCAAATTTGCATTTTAAAGCAACAAGTGAATTCCCGAATTCCTTCTTTAGTTTCCTCCTGAATCCTCCCTATTAATTTATGGGGTCTGAGATGGTTACTTGGGGTATATTTCGAGCTCCCACTGATGTCCGCCAACGTCCTTGCCACACAACGCCCCTGAACTTTTCACCGAATCGCCCACCCTGTCTTCCAAGTCCTCCTCCATAGGATTAGAAAGAAGACACGCAACAACACTTGGAGTGTTGTATGGTGATTCCATTCCTATTCCAGTTAAATTCAAAACCCAAGCCCACCCACACAAATGTGTTCCAAAATAAAATTCAAAATATGAGCCCAATATTGTTTGCCTATAGAGAAAATTATCCTTGGTGGAAATATGGAGCTCTTACTTTTAAATGCTATGGTCAGGATCTACTGATTTATCCAAAGCCTTCCTTATTATTTTGCTGCTTTGCTTTGTTTTCTACATTAGTGTGTTTCCTAATGATTTTGTTTCCTTATTCTCTCCTGTGAAATTCTGATTATGATTTGGCAATGGGAAAGCTGGTTCACGAAGAATTAGCATCGCATGAAAATATCAATTTTTTATGTACGAAAAATCATTTATTGAGTAAATTTCTTTTTCGATTTCGTTTTTTTTCACATGTTCACAAAATTGTATTTAGGTTTTCTAATATTCATCTTGGCCTTGGGATACAAATGTAAGCTTGTGGGCTGTGTTTTGTGTGGGTTTGTATTTGTGTTAGTTAGATTTTGGTTGTTTGTTTTGTGGTAAGTTTTCGTATTGAGCGCTAGCAATTAACATTTAATTACACCGAAATGGGGAAAACATCTTACGCAGATTAGTACGAGTATACATCTATGTATAATTGTATAAGTTTTTGGTTTTGGTTTGGGGTATTGGGTTGAAATGAGACAAAACAACTTTGTAATTTTGATAATTGATAAACAAATGCCACTTACTCGCTGGTAAATACTTGTTACTAAACTTATATGATACAACGGCAGACATGACATCCATTAGTACGTTATATCTAAAGAGGTCGGGAGAGGGGGCGGTTTGCTTTAGCCTATGTAATGTCGTTTATATGGTTATTTTGTGTGTACTTTATGGCAGATAAAAACCTACACAGAGTGGGTACAGCACATAGTACATACATACATACATACAATATACATACACATATGTGGTGTGGTTATTGTACATCCATATCGATGACATCCATATAGTACTAGTACCTCTCCATCGTTTTTGCAATTCTTGTCTTTTTGTTCTTTTTTTTTTTTTTGTGAATTTTCTTTTTTTTTTTCATAGGAAACAACAAAAATGGACGCAAAATTATTGTTATAGTAGTATTCAAGTTGACCCATTTTGCTTTTTATGTTTATTTAACTATGTATGTATATAGGAATATGCAAAACGTACACTTAATATATTTTTTTAGGTTTTTTTTTTTACTTTTTTTCCCACTGTACTTCACTTATGTTTCTGTTACTATATAGTAAATGCAGCTCTAAAACTTTGTATTCTCTGACATTGTTTATTTTACTTTCTGTGTGGGTATTGTATATAGTCCTTATGCCTGCTCAAATACATTTAATAACATTTCTATAGAAATATTCAAAGCTGAGGTAGTTAATTCATTCATTATTCATTTACTTTAGTTTATGTTTAGTTAAGTTTACGTTTACTCCATATAGTATTTATATATATATGTATATGTGTATACATATATACGCACGTGGTTAGCTTACGGGTAGTATGACGGTATTACAGGTGTAGTAGTCATCTGTACACACAACTGTACCTCCATATCATCTGGCATCTCATCTTATCGTTCATATTAAATTCATTTAGGGTTTGCATTGGTTATGGGTTCTGTGGGTAATGGGTATGGGCGTTGTAGAACATCGAAAGCGTTTCGGAAACGAACGGATCGGTTGGGATGGTTTGGGATAGGTTTTGTGGAATTCTGGAAACGAAACGAGCTCAAAACCAAGCGATCAACTATATAACAACTAAATGAGTATAACTGTAAATACGGGGCAAACTGAACTACAAATCAAAAAAAAGGCAATAATAAAAAAAAAAAACAAGAGTACAAAATTTGTTTGTTTTTTTTTTTTTGGTTTTTTTAATAATATTTTACTCTTTTTTTGTTATATTTATAATATTTATAGATATTTTAGCTCGGTAATGTAGATACAATTTACAATGTAGTTACATCCGTGTCGTCAAATCAATCCGATTAAATGAACTTAACGTAAGATGTAAAATGTAGACGACGCAAAAAAAAAGCTCTAAACTAATTTTAGATAAAGATTACAAATAAAGGTAAATTTAAACATAATTAATGTAAAAATATTGTTGTTTTTTTGTGTGTTTTTTGGAACTTTTCATATTCATTGTTATTTTTTTTGTTTTTTTTTTTCATGATTTTGTTTAGTATGGTATATATATATAATTTTTTTAAGGGCTTTTCTCTATGTAGTTTTGCTCGCCATTCAAAAAAATGATAAAAATGCTTGTATACATATATGTATATACATATATTTTTTATTTTGCTGTTACGATGATGGGGTGTGCTGTGGCTTGGTGTGGTATGTAGAGGAGTTGTAGTGTTGGGGGGACATCCAGCGAGGGGCTTTAATTATAAACTACTATCACACAGGCAACCCATCGCTGGATGGAGTAAGTGGGAAAAAAAACGGATCGTGTGGGTGGGTCCAGGAGTTTCTGTGGTTTCTAAGGGGTTTTTCTGGCGGCAAAATGAAATGCACAACAACAAAAATGATACAAAATAATCAAATTAAAGTTAGGAGGATGCCCATTATGGTACACAATCAATTGGAAATCCTCTTCTTTCTCTCTCTCGCTCTCTCTCTCTCGTTCTCAAAATGCCATCGGCTTAGTACACAACGGGTATGATACGAGTAACTATAGTGTATAGCTGGTTGCATATCTAAACATATGTATATTGTATAGGTACTGTATTTTAAATGTGTTTATTGTAGATTAAGGGTCTCGGTTGAGAGTTTTAATGTCTTGATGAGTTTGGGTATGGTGGTGTTGGTGGTGTTGGTGGGGGTGTGTGTGTGTGTGTGTGTGTGTGGGGGTGTGTGGGTGTGGCGGTTATTGTATGTATGTATGTATCTTTGCAATAAACATAACGGTAACTAAATATATGTTGTAGCTCAGTCTCCAGTTGATTACCGTGTATAATTTATTACAAATCGAAACAATAAAAAAATATATAGGTATATATTTATTATAATATATTAAATCGTAATTAAATAAGGACTATCATATATATGTATATAGAAATATATATACCATATATTCAAAATGCTTGAAATGTACAAAAACAAACAAACAAAGATTAGTGGTTGCGGTTTTGGGTAGGGGGTTTTGGGGTAGGGGTAGGGTTTTTCTGGCTCGATTCGTAAATGAAACGTTTCCAGTTTCCTATTTCCTCTTCATTCCACTCGCTTCGCGTTTCGTTTCCATTCATTGGCTATACATCATATTATTCATGCATTTTCGTATAACTATAGCAGATATATTTTTTTTCTGATTCCTGTTGTGGTTTTTGTTTGTGTTATACATTTACATTTAGATTTACGAATAGAGTGTGGCTCCGCCTATCGAATTTCACATAGAGAATTCAGTGTGTGTGTTTTTTTGTGTGTGTAGTGGGGTGTATCAAAATTTCTTGATGTTTTGTTTTCGTTTTTTTTTTTTTAGTAATATTGTAGGTTTTTCTTTGATTATTTTTTTGGGTTTCCCTATTTGTTGGGGTTTTTTAATGTTTTTTTTTTTAGTACATTTCTCTTACGGGCTGACACAATAGGTTTATTTCTCTTCCATTTTTGGGTGGGATCTTAAATGCTAAAAATATATAGTAAATGTTGAAAGTTGTATTTCATGTTTGTTTTCTCGTTTGCATTGAAAAATGTTTTTCGGTTTATGTTTTTCTCGCTTTTTTTT